CCTTCAGCGGTGTCTGTCCCGCCGCGGGTCTCCGGGGCTCCCAGACCGATTCTAATGCGATTCTTCCCCCTCTGTCTCGCCCCGCTCCCTGCAGGGTCACCAATGGTGGCAAAACCACCTTGACCAACAGGCTCGTCAAGGCGCTGCCCAACTGCTGCGTGGTCCATCAGGATGATTTCTTCAAGGTGAGTCTCCTCTTTCTTGCAGCGTTGCTTGTACATGCAGGGCAAGTCAGTTTTGACAGCTTAGGAGTCACAACCTTTCTGGTTTTGTGGGGGGTTTTATATATATATATATATATATATATATATATTTGATGTTTAAATGACTGGGCAGGTGGGGAGTTCCTGACCTTTATAAATGCCACAGGAGCCTTTAAATGTTAACAACAGATTTAAATTTAGTACTGAATTCAGGCAGAGGTTATTTACTGTGCTCTGCATGAATGATTTTCTCCATATTGGGATTTCCCATGTTATTTTATTAAATTAAGAATGAGACTGGTTAATCGTGCTTTAGGACTTAAGCACCTCTCTGCTGGTTTAAATATGGAAAGGGGGTTTATGGGGGAGCTTTTATAGTTCTGTACCAGAACCCAATTAAAATATCACAGAGATTAATGCAGAAGACTTTCACTGCCTTCTGCCTGGGAGTGCAGAGTGTTCCTAAACCCTGCACATTCATGGGAATGAGGACATCCCTGGACCCACCACCCGTGGAAGTCCAAGAGATGCAGGGATGGACTTGGAGCACTTGTGGGTCATCCCCAAAACATGAATTGCTCCAGCCCCAGCATGGTGTGCTCAGTCTGTGCTGCACAGATTTGATCACTTAGGAGCCCTTGGGGGAGGCATTCTGTTTGATTTTCCATAAAAATCTGCGTCTTTTTTGAGTGAATGCCAACGTGAGGAAAGCAGTAACTGAGCAACCAAAGCGCTGCTATACCCACCTGCATTTTTAGCAGAGGAGTTCAAATACCTACTCTTTAAAAAACCATACATTCTAACACTTATTTAACTGTACCAGCACTTTAAAACTCCTGTGTGATTTACAAACACAACACCCTGTAGTATTTCACCAATTGACATAAAAATCTTTATCCGGAGTGGTTTGAGTGAGCCAAGGGAACCTCCCAGTTGGGGCTGGGGCAGGCTGGGGCTGTGGCTGTCCCTGCAGGCCCAGCTGGGGCTGTGGCTGGCAGTGCCAGGGGTGGTTGTGTGGCAGTGGTGCCAGGTGCCGATGGCATCGGAGGGAACTGATCCCGCTGAGGTTGCAGCAATGTTTTATTGCTCACTATATTTCAGCCACAAGATCAAATAGAAGTCGGGGAAGACGGCTTTAAGCAGTGGGATGGTAAGAGCAGTGTTCCCTATAGGATGCAGTAATGTATATTCTTTTCCTAAGTATTTTNCATTTTACACATAATAGGGGAGAACAATACATAAATTGGGGGAATAACACAAGAAACTTAGCAACACACTACCACATCCGTGCCACAAACAAACCCCAAAAAAAGGAACTTTCACATGACCCACCAGCAGCTCGCCACAAAAGAGGCCTAAAAAAAGCCTTTCTGAGCATTGCCGTTTGCATAACTCGTATTTTTGTTTGATTTTTTGGTGGTTTGGGTGAAGTTTGGTGCAGGTTTTGCTGGGGAGGAAGGAAGGAGACAGCTGGAATGGCATCTCCAAATAGAGCAGCAGCTCTAATTCAAATTTGGGAATTGCAGCTATGAGGGTGAATTCCAGCTCCCAGCATGGCTGGGGTGTGAGCTCAGAGAAAAATCACCCCTGAAAACAAACTGGGGAAAGGGGAGCACCGAGGGGCTGGGAAAAAAAGGGTTTAAAAATGAGATTTCATCCTGAGGAAAATGAATTTTACACTGAGGAGTGAGGTTTTTTTTCAGAGAGGAGAAATGAGCTTTTAAATGAGGAGAAATGAGCCTTGCACTGAGAAGAAGGGAGATTTTAAATGAGGAGAAATGAGCCTTTACAGTGAGGAAAAATGAGCTTTTACACTGAGGGAAAGGAGCTTTTACAGTGAGGAAAAGGAGCTTTTACACTGAGGGAAAGGAGCTTTTACACTGAGGAAAAATGAGCTTTTACACTGAGGAAAAGGAGCTTTTACAGTGAGGAGAAAAGAGCTTTTACACTGAGGAAAAGGAGCTTTTACACTGAGGAAAAATGAGCTTTTACACTGAGGAAAAGGAGCTTTTACAGTGAGGAAAAGGAGCTTTTACAGTGAGGAAAAACGAGCTTTTACACTGAGGGAAAGGAGCTTTTACACTGAGGAAAAGGAGCTTTTACACTGAGGAAAAATGAGCTTTTACACTGAGGGAAAGGAGCTTTTACAGTGACGAGAAAAGAGTTTTTACAGTGAGGAGAAAAGAGCTTTTACAGTGAGGGAAAGGAGCTTTTACAGTGAGGAGAAAAGAGCTTTTACAGTGAGGAAAATGAAGTTTTAAATGAGAAGAAATGAGTTTTACACTGACAGGAATGGGTTTCGAGCTCCAAAAAACCCCAAGAGCAGCCATAGCTGTGTCCTTCAATCCTCCCGTTCCCAGAAAAAACAGGAATGTTGAAATTCCTTGTGGAGATAATGGGACACTGCTCTGATTCCCTAATCCCAAACAATCCAATCCTGCTGCTCCCACCCCGATTGTTTTCTGCTTCCAGCACTAAAAATTCCATGTTTTCTTTAGATATACTAAAAAATATACACCAAAAAATTCATTGTTTCTTCTGATACAACTTTGGGCCAAAATCTCTTTATTTTTTTTTCCCAAGGGTAAAACCCTCCCCTGTATTCCTCAGCCACGGCCCTGCAGGCAAACCCAGCTGGGACCAAATTTCAAAAACGCAAATTTCAAAAACACAAATTTCAAAAACACAAATTTCAAAAACACAAATTTCACCCAGTGGGATGGAATCTCCCAGAACTATTTGGATCAGCAGGTCTGCAGCACAAAGGGAACTGGAGCAGAGGTGGCCGGGTCCNGACACTGAGGGGTTAAATCCCCCTAAATGTGACACTGAGGGGTTGAATCCCCACAAAAAGTGACACTGAGGGGTTAAATCCCCCTAAATGTGACATTGAGGGGTTGAAACCCCCCAAAATGTGACACTGAGGGGTTAAATAGCCCGTAAATGTGACATTGAGTGTTGAACCCCCACAAAAAGTGACCTTGAGGGGCTGAACCCCCCCCTCAAATGTGACACTGAGGGGTTGAACGCTTCCAAAATGCGACATTGGGGGATTCAACCCCCCAAAAAAGTGACACTGAGGGGTTAAATCCCCCTAAATGTGACATTGAGGGGTTGAATCCCCACAAAAAGTGACACTGAGGGGTTAAATCCCCCTATATGTGACATTGAGGGGTTGAATCCCCACAAAAAGTGACCTTGAGGGGTTGAACCCCCCCAAATGTGACACTGAGGGGTTGAACGCTTCCAAAATGCGACATTGGGTGATTCAACCCCCACAAAAAGTGACCATGAGGGGTTAAATCCCCCTAAATGTGACGCTGAGGGGTTAAATACCCCATAAATGTGACATTGAGGGGTTAAATCCCCCTAAATGTGACACTGAGGGGTTAAATCCCCGTAAATGTGACATTGAGGTGTTGAACCCCCACAAAAAGTGACCTTGACGGGTTGAACCCCCCCCGCAAATGTGACACTGAGGGGTTGAACGCTTCCAAAATGTGACATTGGGTGATTCAACCCCCACAAAAAGTGACCCTGAGGGGTTAAATCCCCCTAAATGTGACGCTGAGGGGTTAAATACTCCGTAAATGTGACATTGAGTGTTGAACCCCCCCAAAAAGTGACATTGAGGCTTGGCCGGCCCTGCCCCGAGCGTGACATCTCGGCTCATGACCGTCACAGGGCTCCTCCGGGGCGGGGACACGGCCCTATAAATCCGCCCCAAAAGCGCCTTTTCCTCAATGAAAAGCTCTGGGAGGCAGAGCAGGGCCGGGGGAATAAAAAGGAGAAGGTACAGCGCGGGTTTTGTTCCGCTTTAAGTTCTTTTAGCCTTCCCGATTTTATTTTTTTTTCCCCCCTCCCTCCCTCGCCACATTCCGGCTCAAGAGGCGACTCGGCGAAATGAAATATATTATAGGCATCGGAGGGTAAGTCCCGGCTAAAATCTGGCTTATTTTATGGTTTTCCTGGTTTAATTTTTGGGGGTTATTAATCTGGGATATAGGATTTGAGATATTTGAGGATATTCGGGATATAGGGTTTGAGAGATGATGCAACTTCATGAGTGTTAATTCGTGGTGCCTAAATACAGCAGGGTGTATTTAAGACACACTTTAAAAACATCCACTTTTATATATTCTTTAATTTATATCTTAATATGTACTTTTAGACGTCCTTTTATTTGATATATCCTTTTATATATTTTATAGGATTTAAAGGATGGATGCTGCTTCAACGGAGAGCAGCACATCCTTTCATAAAGACTTTCATACATATCTATATACATTTTATATACTTATTTGTTTTATATACATATTTATACATACAAATTTTATACGTAGACGTTTATATATTTTTAGAGATACTTTCATCCACAGTTTTATATATCCTTTTATAGTTTTAACAGGAGATATGCTGAGATGGCAAAAACACTCAAGTAAATTTAGAGGCCAGATAGACCAAGAAAATTATTTTAAAATTTTCTCTGAAAGACGAAGAGGGGGAAAATCCCATTTCTAATAAAATGGGGTGGTGGTGTATAAAAGGCATTGATTTTAATTTTAAAAAGCAAGATTTAAGGTGGGCTCGTGCTGGGACGGGGTGAGAGTGCGGCGGGAGTTCCGGAAATGGAACAGTGAAGGGTAATACGGGTTATTAGAATAATATATTAATAACATGC